ACTTCTCAGCCTCTTTGTTGAGACAGAGTTTCTCACTAACTTAGATCTCACTAGTTTGGTTAGTCAGGATGGCCAGCTAAGCCAAAGGGTATGTGTCAATGGAGATTTCTCTCCTGCCCACCAGTTCCCGAACAAACACTCAAAGACTTACAATAATTATAAATGTTTGGCTTGTGGCTCAGACTTATTAAAAACTAGCTCTTATTTCGAAATGAACCCATTTCTACTATTTTATATTTTATCACAAGGCTCCTGGTTTGTTACCTTACATCATGCTTTTCCGGTGGCTGTTGGTGCCCTGCCGACTCCATTATCCTTCTCTCTATATGTTTCTTTGGATTCCTTCCTGGTTCTATTCTGTCTGGATATTGGCCAGTCAGCTCATTTACTAAACAAAGGTAATAAAACATATTCATAACTTACAGAAGGGCATCCCACACCTATAAAGTCCTGAGCTTCAAGATCCCATCGCAGCACCTGGTTTTGAAGATGAGTGCTTATGGATTGAATTCAGGTGCTCATTCTTGAGCCACATGAAATGTACCAACTAAGTCATATCACCAGTCATGCTCCCCTCCTGATGTTAAGATACGTCTTCTGCATGAACCTTGTGTCTCCCTCATACTCACCAGGCAGAAGGAAGGAAAGGTATTTCCTGGCTACATGCCAGAAATAAATTTGTGAAAAGATCAAGGCTTTACAGTTGGTTGTTCATGACAGGAACACAAAAGTATATTCTCCATTAAGAGAATTGGCAGTCCTAATAGTTCCAGCTGAGGTGCCATGAGATGCAAGCCTAGAACCAAGCCTTGAACTGTGCGGTTCACCTAAAGTGGAAACTGACAGAGATCTCTGCCTGGCATTACCTTGTGTCCCAGACGGTGACAATAGAGAGGATTCGGAGTGTCACTCACAAATATGAGATACATGTTCACACTTTCTTTGTTACCAACTGACCCCTGTATAATCTGGCAAGCTTCCATTTTCTTTTCATATGAAGTGTCTTTACATATCTCCATTCTTGTTTGTGCTTATAAGGGATTTGTATACTAATTTATTTGGTCATTTTGTTCTTCTATTTTTTTGCCTGGAAGAAAATTCTCGCACAACTGTATTGGGAAACCTTTCTCTCTCTCTCTCTCTCTCTCTCTCTCTCTCCATCTTCCATTTATTGAAAATATTCTTCTATCACACAATACATCCTGACTACATTTTTACCTCCCTTCACTCCTCACTGCTATCTCCTCCATTCTCCCACAGATCCACGCCCCCTTTCCTCTTCAGAAAAGAGAAGGTTTCCAAGGATGACAGCCAAAGAGAGTAAAACAGGATACAATAACATCAAGCAAATAGTCATTACGTATATGCAATGGACCTCGCACATATCTATACAGATTCTGTGCTTGCTACTCCAGTCTGTGTTGGCCCATATGAGCCTTGCTTAGCTGATTTGCTGGGTCATGGTTTTCTGTTGCCTTCCACCCACTTTGAATGCTATCCCTCCAATCCCTGGAATTCCCCAATCTCTCAGGGATGGCACCCTATGGAGACCTCCAAATTAGAATCTCTCTGCAGAATATCTGACTGTGGGTCTCTGAACCTGCTCCCATCTGTTGCCAGAGGAATCCTCTCTGATAATTGTGGACATGACTAAGAAGTTACTCTGCAGGTTCCAGAAGGAGAAATCTGGCCATCAACACAGACAAAATCGTGGACCTACACACTATCCTGTCTGCAAGTTGTTTTTGGGCAATGGTGGCCAACAAGTGTTTGGTTTAGTTTGAGGCACACACTATGAGAGGGAACCTGTATGGCTAGGAACTGGAAACTGGACAGCCCAGAGATCTAGTGAAGGACCAAACATGACTGGAAACAAAACAAGAAATGACTTCTAATAATATTCTTCTATACCCTGACTTTATCTGAGACTTTCGGTCTCATTCCAACAGCCTCAAATCTAAGACACTCTCTAGTTAGAAGTGAAATTTGCCTTGTTGTAGTTGACCTGACAAGAGTTCCCAGGGTGAGTTACAGTGAAAGAAGTATGTGGGTAGGGAGTGATCAGGTTTCTGGTATAAAATAGAAAGCTAGCCTCTGCTAACCCGAGACACAACAGTTTTCCTGTGTTCTTCAAAGCCTTGTGATGTCCCAGACTGAAGTGAACAAGATTCACTGTTACCATATATATGACTCTCAGCATTCTTTCTGTTATTCCCCTCATTTACACTTGGGGTCATGTTGACGATTGGTAGGCAGTATTTCAGATGTGTACACGCATACACACACACACACACACACACACACACACACACACAAACATACACACTCTTCAGTGTATATTCTTCAGTATACACACTCACAAACACACTTTGTTCAATAAGGAAATATTACACACACACACACACACACACACACACGAGTGTGCATGAGTGTGCATTCTCACGTGCCCTAGCGCACACACAGTCTGTTCAATTGAGTCCATCCCTATCAACCCCAGGAGATCCTACCACTGAGAAAAATTTCTACTACACAGAAGAATAAGTTCAATTCCTGAAATAGAGAGATGAGTTGTTTTTTTGTTTTTTGTTTGTTTGTTTGTTGTTGTTGTTGTTTTCTGATGACCTTCCACCTGTGTTAACCTTTAGGTCCAGAATGTGCTCTTTCTGAGTATTTCTTTGTTCCTCAAATCTTGCATGATCCTCAATTAGTTTCTTAGCTTATTCTTATCAGAGCTCACCACCGCTTTCATACCTGACCTGAGAAAGATGCACCTGAGTGTAGCAGCATTTCATTTGTATTTTAATAAATAAAGCATGCCTCAAGTTCAGAGAGTAAAATGGTCACACTGGCCAGTATTACACACCTGGCCACAGTAACATTTGAATCCCAGTAGCCACGCTAGCTGCCATAGAAACTGGGCAGTGCATGACTTTAACCCCAGTGGTGCACACCTTTCATCCCAGAACTAGAGAGGATTATAAAATGGGGAGACAGCTTTCAGTTACAGCCTCATTCTGAGATTCCTAGAGGCAGGATTGCCATTTAGGACTGAGGTCAAGGTTAAGAGCCAGTGGCTACCTGCTTTGCTTTTGGGTCTTCAAGTTGAACCCCAATTTGGCTCACCGAGCATTTATTAAACATGCTTCATTTGATGCCCAACTTTTGAGGCACAAATTGATGAACAAGCCATTTGCCTGAGACTTCTTATCTTCAGCCCAGGACAGAGCTTGGATTGGAATTCCAGTTATAGGAATTCACAAGAAGCACTAGGATTTCCAGGCCCCACCTGCCTTGGCTTAGCTTCCTCTCCTGAGGAGCATATCCTTTATGCCACCCCTCAGGCACCCACAGGGGTTCCTGTGTTCCTACTGCAGTTTCCTGTGAGTCCTCCAGTCTCCTGTCTACCCCTAGCCCTGCATGCTTAAGGCTACCTTTCACAGACAGAAGTTTCTCTCTTACCTTAGGGTTACATAGCTGCTCAGTCCCAACAAAACACAGAGGCTTATAGTAATTTTAAACTGTTTGGCCTGATTAGCCCAAGTCTTATTGTTAACTAGCTCTTATAACTTAAATTAACCCATAATTCTTATCTATGTTCAGCCATGTGGCTTGACTCCTATTCTAATGCAGCATTTCGTCTTGCATCCTCTCCATCTGGGTGGTAACTGCAGATGGGGCCTTTTCTCTTCCCTGAATTCTCCTAGTCTGCTCACCGCACCTATATTTCCTGCCTGGCTACTGGCAAATCAACATTTTACTAACCCAGTGTAAGTGACAAATATTTAGTGGGTAGAAGAACATTATCCCACAGGACCTGGGGCTCTGATATGCCTTGGAATTTGTGTGGGTATAGGTGTACACCTTGTGTGTGTAGGTGCTTAAAGAGGCCAGAGAAAGACGTAGATGTCTTAGAGCTGGAGGCACTGCAAGCTATTAAGATTCGTTTAATAATATTGAAAATAAAACAGATATAAGAGTCACAGTGTGCATAAAAATAAGAGGAATACAGAAGTGTTGTCTTCAAATCCCACCCTTAATCTAAATTCTTTCACTTACTAGTCATGTAAATATAGGAACAGGTAGATTTGTAAGTCTTGCTATGCGTTGAGAAGTGATTTTAACAAGTTTTTTCTCTAATAATGGGGATACATGTGTATGGTACAATGAATCTGTGCTTAAATAGATCTTATACTGACTTATCAGAAAGTGTCATTTATTAATGTGAGCATTTTAATCTAATTCATTATTATCCTTATTTTTCTTAACACTTTGCCTAAAAGATCTACAGAAAGTGCTGTATGCCAGGTCATGTACACGAAGGAAAAACAAAACCTTCTTCTCTGAAGACAACTAGTAATGAATACAGAAAAATATTTCTGTTGAACAAGACATCACCCAACATATTGTTTCTTTAGGAAAGTAGAGATCTTATTTCAGTCTCTCCAATAATGGAGTTTCTTAGAGAATCTATCATTGCTTATTCCAGACCTCCTGCTTCTTTTACCAAACATTTCCAGGACAACTGCAAGAGTCGATATTCAGTGTGTGTTTGGATAAAGCATGAACCTTAAAAAAAAGAGAGGTATGCTTATGTTCAAATTTGTCACACATATTTTAATATCAGAAACAAAAGTCAGTATGTATCCCTGACGTAAATGCCAAGAAAACAAGGACTAAAAGAAAATATTCAATGAAAACCCTAACACTTTTGAATATTTTTCTCTCATATTTCTCACCATTTTCTTATTCTAATTCCACAGTATCTTCTGAACATCATCAAAACCTTAGAGCATTTCAAATTTTAACCTTTATTTCAAATCAATCCAAAAAATTGAGCTCCCAACTAGGTAAACAGCAGTGAAGGAACGGGCTACAAAATTTATCTGTGCACATTTAACCCCAAGTTAAACCTTTGCTAAAAGAACCCCAAAAGATTAACAGCTTGTTTGCAAAGAGATGAACAGACCTTTTCAGTCATAAAGCAGAGGCTGCCTTACACCTCACTTGTGAGTAGGACGACTTAACTTGGTCTTAGTACGTCCCTTGGCCTTGCCTTTAGTGCCAGACTTGGCTGCAGCTGCAGCTTGGGCTTTCTCTTCCTCTTCAGTCAAAGTCTGCTCATAACGAGATAAGCAAACCCCAGGCAAGGCTTCACTGACCTTGGCTAAAAAGTCCATCACCTTTATCTGGCTTGTTTCAGCATAGGCTTTCGGGCCCCACAGGAACTCATAGGAAGGAGGATCACTGTTAGGAACCTGACGGTATTCTATGTATTCTTCCCGCACTAGATCCTCAGTGATGAGCTTCCTGATATCCCCAAAGATGACGTGCATGATCCCATCATAGAGTCCTAAAGCATTTAGGAAATACCAGACATCCTCCTCGGAAGCACAGTAGTTATTTAGGTAGATCACACTTAGGAGAGCGATCAGAATGCCCCTGGTAGGACCTACACCTAGCTCATTGCTCCTACCTCCATCATCCTCGAAACCTAGCTTGCTCACAAGCTCATATGCTTGACCATGTGGCTGGACTTCTTTCAGCTCAAGGCCAAACACCACATCCAATCGATAGGAGGCTTTCTTGAGGATCTCAGGGAAGTGTTCCTTGAACCTTTTGTTGATAACTTTGAGCATCTCTCTCCTCTTCATGAGCTGCTGTACTTTGTATTTGCAGAGCATGTACTCCATCAGCATTCCTGTCTTCCTTGTCAGAAGATCCATCTGCAAGCTTCTAGTGGAGAGTAGAGCCCCGGAGGAACGCTCATTTCTATCCCCTTGGCCCTGGTCACCCTTATCAGACTTTCTGTGGGTCACTTCTTGGCTGGCAGTGCTGCTGGGTGCTGAGCTTTCAGACTGCTGTGGGAAGTCAGCAGCAGAAGTGCTTGGCTTAGCA